TTTATAATAATAATGTAATTATTCTTGATAACTATATCATTATTACTTTGCATACATGCATCAATTATAATTGTTCTTGATAACTACATCATTATTGCTTTGCATATATGCATCTAGATGAACTAAAAAAAAGACTATTTGAAAAACACATTTATGTTATAAAATAATGAATGTCTATATGAATATTCATATATTTTTCATATCCCCACTACTCATAATTTTTAATGTGATTCAATTCATCATTCAATATAAGAAATTAAAAAAATGATGCAATTGATTCAATAATTAATTTATTTTTAATTATTCATAGTCTCTTTCAATTCTCTTCTCAATTATAAAGCCTATAAATAGATTTGATTATTCTTCGGTTTGTGTACAAGTTTTTAGAGAGATTAAGAGAATAATTTGAGGTTCTTATCACTTGTATTCACTTTATTTTATAGCGAATTCATTTCTTATCATCTTTTTCTTCAATTCTCCTATTGTTTTTATTTCTTTTATAACACGTTATCGGCACGATTACTCTACCAAACGATGTAAATCATCTAAACTATTAAGAGATATGTATCTAATTTATCTTTTACTTTAAACCTAATGGTACATATAATATGTATTTGAAAAACTTGAATAATCTAATATATATATATTCTAATAATCTAATACTTGTTGTTTGAGAAGTTTAAATTTTATTATTATATTTATTTTTTTCTAACATTATCATTATATCTTATATTATAGAATTTTTATCATATCAAACCTCACAAAGCTTGATGTTGTGGCCCTTGACATTTAGGGCAAGAATTATTTATCATAGGTGCTTGATGTTAAGATACATTTAAATGCTAATAGTCTTGGATAAATAATCATAGATGATAATCAAGAATCCTTGCAAAATCGTGCTAAGGCAATGATCTTCCTTCGTCATCCTCTCCATAAGGATTTGAAAACTAAATATTTAACATTAAAAGATCTAATTGAACAACGAAAAATTTAAAGGAAAGGTACAATCATCAAAAGATGATAATTCTTTCAAAAACTCGTCATGGTTGGATGCACTTAAGATTATAAGATTTCAAAATAGTAAGTTAGTATAATTCTATAATATTTAGAATCGGTTCCTAACTAAAATTGTGTGGAGAACAAATTACTGATTTAGATATATTAGAGAAAATATTCTCTACTTTTCATACCTCGAATATGCTCCTACAACAACAATATCAAGAAAAAGGTTTTAAGAAATACTCTAAATTGATTTTATCCCTACTTGTGGCTGAACAAAATAATGAGCTACTAATGACAAATCATAAATCCTACCCAACTAGGTCTACTCTATTTCCTAAAGTGAATATGACATCTTATAATAATTTTGGGCATGGACAAGGACGTGGTTATGGCCATAGATATGGATGTGGTCGTGGTAATATCTATAGTCATGATTGAAATAATTATCTTTATAATTATGGTGCTCATAATAATACATCTCACTACCGAAGTGGATAAATTATGAAAAAAAAGAATAAAAGTGGATCAAGTCGGCATTCTAAAAATAAATGTTATAGATATGACATGAAAGGACGTTGGTCGCGTACCTATCATACACTAAAGTACCTAGTTGAGCTTTATCATGTCTCATTGAAAAAGAAAGAAAGTGATAAAGAGGTAAATTTTATATATCAAAATATTAATTATGACAATGTTCCTTTTGAAGGTTTCAATAATTTGACACATTTAGATGTTGCTGATTTTTTTAAAGAATCTAAGAGTAAAGATTATTAGATTAATGATAATCATCAAAATTAATATCTTGTTACCTTTTCTATTGATAAATAAAGAATTTTTATGTTTTGTTATAATTTCTATTGCTTTGTGATAGTTTTAATTTTTATTTATTTGTTTGTTTGTTTTGTGTTTAAGAAGAATATATGGATACTACCAAATTTGCAATTGATTTAAATATTATAGAAGAGAATCTATGCCTCGTGGATAGTGCAATAACACATACTATACTTAAAAATAAAAGGTATTACTCCAATTTAATGAAGGGTAAGGCTAATGTTAACATTGTATCTAATAGTGTCAATTTAATTGAAGGCTTTGGAAGAGTAAATATATTATTACCTAGAGGGATAAATTTTTTTATAAAAAATGCATTATTCTCTCCTAAGTTCCATAGAAATTTATTGAGTTTTAAAGATATTCGTCTAAATGGTTATCATATTGAGACAACAAATGTTAAGAATATTGAATACTTATATATTATAAAAATTACATCGGGTAAAAAATACATATTGAAGAAATTATCTTCTTTCTCTTACGGTATTTATTACACAAATATTCAAATGATTGAAACAAATATCATAGTAAACCGAAGCTTACTATTTCTTTTATTCGTGGTATGACCAATTGGGTCATCCTAGATTTATTATGATGTGAAAAATATTAAAAATTTGTATGGACATCTATTGAAGAACTAGAAGATTCTTCAATGTAATGAGTTTTCATGTCTTGCATATTCTCAATGCAAACTTATTATTAATCCATCATCAAATAAAATTGTGATTGACTCTCCGAGCATTTTTAGAATGTATTCAAGGTGATATATGTGGAATAATTTATCCAACATATGTATCATTTAGATATTTTATGATTTTAATAAATGCATATATAAGATGATCAAGTGTGTATGATTATTATCAACTCGAAACTTAGCGTTTTTTAGGTTACTTGCTCAAATAATTTAATTACAAGCATCATTTCTATATTATAACATTAACACAATTTTCCTTGATAATGTTAGTGAATTTACCTCTTAAGCATTTAATGATTATTGCATGTCTATTAGAATAAAAGTTGAACGACTCGTTGCTCATGTTCATACTCAAAATGGTTTAGCGAGAATCATTTTTCAAAAGGTTCCAATTGATAGCTAAACCATTACTTATGAAAATAAAACTCTCTGTTTATGCTTAAGGACATGTAATTATACATGCAACAACACTTATTTGTATCAAGCCCATAAATTATCATAAATTATCTCCCCTTCAATTGATTTCGATCATGAGCCTAATATTTCTCATTTAAGGATTTTTGAATGTGTAGTATATGTCCCAATTACTCCTCTAAAATGAACTAAAATGGGTTCTCAAAGGAAATTGAGAATGTATGTTGGATATGAATCCCTTTCTATAATTAAATATCTTGAACCATTAACATGGGATGTTTTCATTGCTCAATTTATCGACTATCATTATTATGAAATAATTTTTCTAATATTAGGAAGAGAGAATAAACGGAATAAGTCGTTGAAAATATTGAAAAAATAAATTACATGGAATGGTTCATCTTTATACCATATTGATCTCCGTACAAAATAATGTGAACTTAAAGTTCAAAGGATAATTTATTTATAAAATCTTCCAAACCAATCGTCGGATGCATTCTCTAATCCAAAGAGATTAACTAAATCACATGTTCTACGAGAATGCTCCTATTAGAGTCGATTTCCTAGTAGGACAACCTATTAATGTTATAACAAATGAACATAAAGCACGCTTGAAGCATGGAAGATCGATCGATTCTAGGGATAAAAATCTCAAAATAATAATAATAATAATAATAATCAAGATGGAAATATAAAGGAGACAAATAAAATGGTCCAAAATACTTTTGATAATAGACTTTCAAAAGAAGCCCAAATGCTTGAGAAAAATCAAGAAATTTTGATAAATTATGTTAATACAAAGAGAAAATGAGATCGAAAAGAAACATTTGGTGATAACATTTTTGCATATAATGTAGCGATTGATATTTTGAATAAGGATTTTGAGCCTAAATCTATTGAAGAATATCTACATAAAGATGATTGGCCTAAGTGAAAAGATGCAATCCAGGAAGAATTAAAGTCTCTCATGAAACAAGCGGGTTTTTTACCCATAGTTAAAACACTTGAAGATATTAAGCCATTATGATACAAATGGGTATTTACGTGAAAATGAAATAAAAAAGATGAAATTATGAGATACAAAGTAAGACTTGTAGCACAAAGGTTTTCATAAAGACTCGGCATTGACTATGAGAAAACATGTTCTCCTGTAATGGATTCAATTACATTCCGTTATCTTATTAGTTTGGCAACACATGAAAAACTCCATATGCATTTAATGAATATGATCATAGCCTATTATATGATTCACTTGATAATGATATCTAAATGAAAGTTACGAAGGACTTAAAATGCCTAAAGCGTGTAAAATATATTCCCAAGATATGTATTCAATTAAATTACAAAGATCTATATATGGATTGAAACAATGCTGGACGCACATGGTATAATCGTCTTAGAGATTACTTGTTAAAAGAAGGTTATAAAAATAACCCAATTTGTCCATGTGTCTTTACAAAGAAATTCGAAAAGGGATTTGTGATAATTATTATATATATTGACAATTTAAATATAATTAGAACTCCTAAAGAGATTCTAAGTGCATAAAACACTTAATTAGACCTACACACTATTTAGTTTTACAAATATATTTCATTCGAAACACTAATCAATTATTTCTACGGACAGTAGACCCTTACATACTTCTACTCACTTTCTTACAGGCACTTAATTAGCGCTTTTTTTTTTTTTTTTTTTTAACACACAAATTGATGGCCAAAAGCCATATTTATACTAGCCTACTAATAATTCAAGAAACTCAAAAGGATCATTAATATTTTATATACATGTACATAATAATTAAATAGACTTTAAAAAAAAAATCAAAAGAGGTTAAATATTGCAGTGTTGGATGGATTGAGAAAATTTTAAAAAATAATTTTCTGGATATGGGTTTTGGGTTTGGATGATAAACTTGGGCTAAATCAAGTTTAATCTCTAACAAATTCTTCGTATGAGCATCCTGATGGTGAAACCGGTGTAATCCCATCATGGAATTCCGTGATTAACCCCCTGAAAGAAACCCCACTACTCGCAAGCAATTTTAAGTTTCTCAATTATGTTGCGTCGTCGTGTTTCGTTTTTCATCCCAGCGTTCAACGTTGATGATTGGAATGCTGGAGTTCGGTTGATGAACATAGGTCGAATCTTTGACAGTACTCCAGCATCCACAAGCCCTTCATGTCAGCTTTTGTGTCATCAAAAGCCCTCCAAACCCGCAACCGACAAGCAACAGATCCCTTTTGTTCTATAAGTAAGCCCATCTGATGAAGGCCAACCCATAGCCCGTAAGTCAAGCAACTCAAACAAGCCCGACAGTGCTAATTACTCAGTGCAATTCCAGATAGAAAATAATGCTGGGATAACTCCAACAGAAAGACATACAGTAGCAAGGTGTGTGGAGGGCAGCAAGCTGTCCATGGTGCAGCGTGATGAGGATATCGACAGCAGCACGAATTCAGAGGTAGAAATAGAAGTTTTACTGGAGGGAAAAAATGAGACGGCTTTCTTTTTCTACCAGTTGCCATATGGAAAAGAAGGACCGGAACCACCTGACATTGGTTACAAAGCAGGGCAGTCGATCAATAAGTCTAAAATTCCGCTTAAGAAGCTATGCGCGAAATTGTGGCAGGTAGCAAAGAGAGGAATAATAACAGCCTACTGTCTTGTTCCCCAGGACAACAACAATCAGGAGGAGGAGAGAGTATTTTATGATTCGGTGAGTTTGAAAATTGAGGATGGGACAGATAAAATCCTTCCCGTGTTTAATCTGATTTTTCCACCCTCTTTCGCTTTTATATGAATATGATGATTTGGAACTGCCAGAATTTTGGCCATATATATTTTTTTCGCATACTTATCGATATTTTTTATCTATGCCTAAACCTCAAGCTTTGGTTGTTTGTGGTAGAACTCAGAATTAGTGGCGGTGAGGCTTCGAAAGTCATTAAGCGTCTGCGGTTCTCTAACTCACACGGAATTGAGGCAAACGGTTTCTTGGGTGGTATTTGTTAGAAAATATTGGGAAAGAAGAATAGAGGGAAGGAGGGTGGATTCTTGCACTATTAAATCATATTACTCTATATACTCACATTCTTAATGCATTTATAATTATAATTCTTACTAAATATACATTTATAATAATCTAAGATAACTCTATATACTCACATTCTTAATGCATTACATTCATGTATCTAAAATAATTATAACCCACTCTTCGAAAAAATTATTTTTACAATATTCTAGATTTCAAAATTAGTTACGACACCCCTTCTTATTTTTGAATGTCTCATAGTGCATGAGATTTGAAATGTGTTGTTAATGCTTGCAAAAAAAATTTTTCCATCTTCGTCTTGGAACACGGCTATTCTTTATCCTTTTTACTCATCTTTTGGCTATTGCCACATTTTTTGGCCAAACATCTTTCTGTTAAGATGTGGCTCTTCAAGTGACCATTTTATTTTGACTCACTCTTCATTAGGTTGCTGCCTTTTTCATTATCATATGGCTCTTTGGCCATTTTTTGCCATTTTCTTTTCTTTTTATGTGTACATTATTCTCCATCTACTCTTCCTTGAGTCCTTCGCCCATTTCTTTTTGGGATTTCTCCCTTCTTTCTACACACATGCTATACTCCTTTTGAATGCCCCATGAACACCTTTCTCGTTTTGAAAAATAGAGGGATTTTAGGACTGAAATAATTTGGCAGAGCTAGGTACAGCTCAATGCCTCTCTCTTCTGAATATATATATATATATATATATATATATATTGTTTCAGCAACAGAAGTAAAGTTGGACTCTGTTTGTAGACACTAGCCAATAATTCTAAACTTAAGAAAGCCAGAGTCACTTCACGCTCCTAAGTCCGGTGAACATAACAAAAACTCTTGACTGAATCAATTCCAACGTTCAAAATTACAAATTACTTTACACTTCTCAACATCTCGTCTTAATTTATAATTTTTAGGAAGCTTTTGAATTACTGGAACTTCTTTGAAGATACTACTTTGATGAGAACATCCGTTGGCTGATCACATGTGTCAGTGAAGTCCAAATAAAACTCTTTCTTGTTAATCATATCACTAATGAAATGATGCCACAATTCAATGTGTTTTGACCTCGCATGAAACATAGGGTTCTTTGTCATTGCAATGGCTGAAATATTGTCACATAGAATTGTTGTAAGTTCTAAAAACTTATGCTGCAAATCAGAGAGAATTATTAACCAAATTGCTTCATTAGCTGCTATATTTAGCTTTTGTTGATGACAATCCAACTCAACTCTACTTCCTTGAACTCCATGAAATGACATTTAAGGCTAAATAGAAAACATATTCTAATGTGCTTTTTATATCACCAAGACTTCCTACTCGATCCCTATCTATCAATGCAATCAGCTTGCACTCTTCCAAATTTTTTTTTTTTTTTTATATGATCTCGTAATCTTTGGTAACTTGCTAGTAGCAAAGGATCCTCTTTACTATTACAAATGAAGTATATTGGGCCTTATGTTGGTGAGATAAATTAACGAACCACAAGGCTTCAAAACATCTTGAAATCAACCTTCTCTACACCATCATTATGCTACAATTTCTCATTGACTATAATAGGAGTTGTAACTAGTTTACAACTTGCCATGTTAAATTTCTTAAGCAAGTTTGAAACATATTTATGTTGAGAGGTGAAAATCTCTCATTTTGATTGCTTTACATGTATTCCAATGAAATACTTCATAAGTCTCAAATCTGTTATCTTCTATTTTTTCATCATCACATTCTTGAATTCTTCAACTATTATAGCAGTAGTTCCAGTATATATCAGATCATCAATATAAAGACAGACCACTAGAAAATCTACTCTTTTTTTCTTCACATAAAGTGATGGCTTAGATTGACTCCTATCAAAACCATTCTATCAAAAATAAGAATCTATTTTGCGTTTCATGCTCTTGGAGCTTGTTTTAAGCCATAAAGAGCCTTGCAAAGTCGATAGACTTTTTCTTCTTGTCCTTCCATCACATAGCCTTAAGGTTGCTTTGTATAACTCTCTTATTCCAATTCACCATTTAGAAAAGTCGATTTGACATCAAGCTAACAAACCTACAGCTAAAATTGAGCCATTAAAGCAAGGACAATTGTTATTGTGTCTGTCCTTATAACTAGAGCAAATATTTCTATGAAGTCTATGCCAGGCTATTGTGGGTAGCTCTTTGCAACAAGTCGTACCTTATGCTTTTGTATGCTGCCATCTTTATTATACTTTGTCTTGTAGACCCACTTCAAGCCAATTGCTTTATTTCCTCTTGAAAGATCAATTAACTCCGAAGTTCGGTTCTTTTCAATGATTATCATTTCTGCATTTATAGCATTTCTTCATACTTTCTACCTTATAACTTCTTTGAAACTTTGTGGTTCACAAGCAAAGAAAGCAATATTACATAAATTATAAAAATCATTCAAAGATTAATACCTTCTTGATGGTGAGTTTGAATCTAAATCTTCAGTTTAAGAACTAGTACTTGATGAGCTAGCTTTATTTTGAGAAGGCACATCACATGGCTGACTTAAAACTTCTAGGAATTCAAATGTTGCAGGTACATGATTGACATCTTCTTCCCATTTTTATGTTTCCATTTCATAAAAAATAACATCCCTAGAGAGTACCAACTGATTCTTTTGAGGATTGAAAAGTCGAAAGCCTTTGGACTCATCACTGTAGCCAATAAAGATGTAATTCTTGCCTTTCTCATCAAACTTTTCTCTATTTTGGAAAGAAACCAATGTATAAGCAATATAGCTAAAGACTTTAAGCTGAATGACTATTGGTTTATGATCACGCCAAGCTTCACATGGGGTTGGGTTGTGAACTAATTTTATTGGACAATGATTGGGAATGTATACTACCATGTTGACAACTTTAGCCTAGAATTTGTTAGGAATGCCTTTTGTTTTCAGCATGTTGCATGCCATCTCCCCTATAATTCGATTCTTCCCTTCAGCCATTCTACTTTATTGAGGGGTGTGCCTTATTATAAGCTGTATTTGAATTCTATTCTCCTTGTAATGATCAAGGAATGTTTTTTATATGAGCTCGCCTATATGATCTGTTTTTGGAGTCTTTATCTGGTAACTCAACTAATTAAAATACAATGTAAATAATTAAAAGATAATCTAAATAAATAAAAGAAAATAAAAATAAAAGGATAGGGCTGAAAGTTTCGACCACTTGAGGGTGCTAAACTTTCAATTAAGTGGGAGGGTGGATCCTCCAGCATCAAATTCATTCTTTAAAACCTCCCATGCTTCTTTTTCCTTTTTAATTAAAAAAACTCTAAGATAGATTGATTTTTCTTACCCTTCACTAGATTATACTTTAAAAAGCAGCCATTTGAAAAAACTAGGCTCTAATACCAAATTTGTTAGAAATCAGGGAAGCTAGTGGGAAAAAATAGAGAAATTTTAGGACTAAGATAATTTGGTAGAGCTGCAATTCAATGCCTTTCTCTTCTGAATAATGTATTATGTATTTTTTTTATTATTGTTACAATAATAGAAGAAGAGTTGGACTATATTTATAGACGCTAACTTATAATTCTATACTTAAGAAATCTAGTGTCACTTCAAGTTTCTAATCTAGTAAACATAAAAAACTCTAAACTGAATTAATTATAAAACTAAAAATTACAAATTACTTTTGACACCCCTAGCCTAAAGGGAGGGTTAGAATGCATTGGCAATGTCTTACACTCATAGTGCAATGAAAGTGAGACATTAAGCCTCATGTCCTCTACCTCGTCTTATGCACAATAAAAATAATAAACCACTTTTAAATTTTTCAAAACATTAAACCATTTCATTAACTTACCAAAATGTAACATAAGTTTACAATTTAGCATTTAAATTCTAAACCTATGTATACGGTACATACTTTGGTAAACTCGGCTTCCTCAAAAGCATCTTCAATGTCACACATATCTTCATGTACCATTAGCTTTCTACATACCACAAGACAATTATGAGTTAATACTCGGTAAGTGTAATCATGAAAAAAAAAAAACATTTTCATGATATTGAAATACATTTTTTGTGATGAAATGCACCCTTCCAAACATCTATATATTCGACCCTCATTGAAAACTATCATCTACATGAAAAGCCATAAAAATGTACTAGACATATTTCATTCCTATGAAGCTTATGAAGCTCATAAAGATTGATCATTCTCTTGTAAGCCGAAGCCATGATTAAACATACCAAAAGTAAACAACAAATGATTCCCTTAGAATAATCTCTTTGAAACATGTCTAGTTGTTTTCTTAAAAACACGCACATTTCTTTTCTTTTTATACATTGAAAACATGATAAAAAGCATTTTCATTGCGTGGATGAAATTTAAGTGCGGGACCTCATGTAACATATAATCTAGTATCATTAAGCATAATTTTGTCATGAACATATTACTAAATATCTTTAAACATAATGATGAACCCAAATTATCAAGTGATCACACAATGTTTAATCACCATCAAGTAATCATATCATCACAATGTACAATCGTTAAATGAACATATAAACACATTAATTGTAAAAACCCTAACCTAGGACTTTGTAGGTTGAGAATATTATCGTTGTTGACTTACATTCGAAGTGTAATGAATGCAAACCAACAAGACATTGTGTCTTTTCTGTGGTATTCTAGGTATGGATTAGCTACTTCTTCTTAGCAAGCTTCGTTTTTTTCTTTTCAGCTCCTCTAGATAAATGTTCAAATGATGGATTATCCGAGTTTGATTTGTGACTTA